TTATACTCTTCAGTAATGATTGGTTTCTATCAGACATACTTTTTCCAATTTTCCCCATACTGCAGTCTGTGTGTCCTTCACTTCTCTACAGAAATTATAGTCATACCATCTTTTGCATGCTTATGATAGTCAAAACAAGTTCATCACCATTCTTTCTCCTAGCCTCTTCTTGAAAACCATTTACCACTAAGATCAATCAACTAGTTTTTTGGTGTGATTCAGTGGTAGAACTCTCGCCTTCAATGCGGAAAACCCAAGTTCAATTCTGAGCCAATGCACCTCAACTGCAGCCATCATCTGTCTGTCAGTGGAGGGTGGTGTGTTGCTAGGATACTGAACAGTTCAGTAGAGCTCCCTGACTAAAAGAAACTAAGAAGAAAAGACTGGCAATTTACTTCTAAAAAATCAGCCAATTAAAATCCTATGATCACAGCGGTCCGATCTACACCCCATCATGGGGATGGCACAGGCACAAACAATATTTTGTTCCATTGTACATGGGGTCATCATGAGTCAGGAGCCCACTCCACAGCAGTTAACAAAAATATACCTTTTATCAAAGTAACTATCAGAGTGAGGACACTCACTAATTTGAGTTTCTCCTAGTAAACAATAGCACAACTTCCTAACTTTATCACAATGAAGCATCACAGTGAAAAGCAAAGAGTGGGAGAATTATGGTTTATAGTTTGCAAAACACACTCTTGAACATTATTTCATTTAAACCTCCCCAAAACACATAAGATAAAACAAATGGGAAAATGGAGAGTCAGAGTCAAATGTTCTATGTCTCCAAATTCTAGAGGCTGCACAGCTGTTTCATGTTAAAAATAAGTGGAAGCTACATCTTCAGCATTGATCTATCCCACTGGCTAAAGAAATGGTATTGACAGACAGTAAATTTCCACACCAGAGCTAAAATGGAGACTTTTAAAAAAGCATCTAAATCTATGTAAGAGTCCTTGCTTAAGGAAAAAAAAAAAATAAGCAAAGGTCAAACAATCTCAAATTTTAAGGTGGAATAGTCTTTGGGTTAGGAAAAAAACTTTACTACCAAAGTGAGAAAAGTTTTAACTGAATAAATTAGACCCTATTTCAACTTCCCCAGTGGAAATATTTTTGTCAAACTTTAATAGAACCGTTGGAGTGGTAGCAAATAAATGCAGATTTTAAGTTTAAGAATTAATAAATGTTTTTAACTAAAAATGCAATTGCTATGATTACTAAATGCGGAGCTACTGTCTCAGAATCATAAGGTTTTAACATGCACTCACTATAGGAAAACATATCAATTTTTCTTTTAAATTTTAAGAATACTGATAGTAAATATATCATAATGTTACCTCTCAAATAGTGGGTGGAAGGATTTGTGTGTGCTTTTAGATGTTTTTGAAAAGTTTCTCCAATATTTACAATGAATATAGATTAGTTTTATACTTAGCGATACATATCATAAAAAATAGTTATATAGGTCCCTAAGTGGCACAGATGGCACTTGGCTACTAGCCCAAAAGTTGCCTGTTCGAACCCATCTTGCAGCACCAGGGAAGATCCAGGCCTGGTGAGAAGCTTCTATAAAGATTGCAGCCAACCCAACTCTGGAGCTACAGAGTTTCTCCAAATGAATACACAAACAAACAAATGCCTCAAATAGTAATAAATGCGTAATTGAACTTATCTTTAAACATAAATAAGGGTTTAATACAGTTTCTTTTCAACTTTAAAAGAGATTATTATTTTGATAAGGAGTCTTCATGGCACAATGTAACATTAAGTGCTTGGCTGCTAAATGAAAGTCAGTGGTTGTGTCACCAGTGGCTCCATGGGAGAAAAGACCTGGCAATTTGTTCCCTAACAACAACAGCAATGGTTATGTAAGATGAGCTCGTTGTTGTTGTTTGCCGTCAAGTCGCCCCAACTCATATACCCCTCCTTGGGTTTCCGAGGCAGTATCACTATGGAAGTAGGATTGCCCAACCTTCCTTCCAAGGAGTGGCTGGTGGGTTTGAACCGCCAGCCTTCTGGTGAGCAGTCAAGTGCCTTAGGCATTATGCTACCAGGGCTCTTAAGATGAGCTTGGCATCAGAGTAACTATTGTGTGTCACAGAGGCGATTCAGACTCCTAGGGACCCTATGTGACACAGTAGAACTGCCCCATAGGGTTATCTAGGCTGAAATCTTTACAAAGCAAATTGCCAGGACTTTTCTTCTGGAGAGCCACTAGTGGTTCCAAGTCACCAAATTTTTGATTAAAAACCAAGTGCTTAACCATTGACGTGTGGCACGGCTCCTTATATGACCGTTAAAGCTCACTGCTGTCAAGTTGATTCTGACTCATAGCAACCCTCTAGGGCAGAGTAGAACTGCCCCATAGGGTTCCCAAGGCTGTCAATCTCTATGGAAGCAGACTACCACATCTTTCTCCTGCCGAGCAGCTGGTGGGTCCCAATCGCTGATCTTCTGATTAGCAATTTAGTAGCCAAGTGCTTAATTAAATACCCGACCACAGGGCTCCATATGACCATTAATAAGATATAAACAAGCAAGGGCAAATCTCTTCACAGCTCAGTTTATAAATTCTTTCCATTAAGTACCTTCTAAGGAGCTCTGGGGGAGCTCTGGTAGCATAGTGGATAAGACACTTGCCTGCTAACCTGAGGGCTGGCGGTTCAAACCCACGAGCCACTCCTCGGAAGGAAGGTTGGGCAATCCTACTTCTGTAGTGATACTGCCTCAGAAACCCAAGGAGGGGTCACTATGAGTCAGGTTTGACTCGACGGCACATAACAACAATAAGGAGCTCTGGTAGCATAGTGGCTAAGACACTTGACTACTAACCAGAAGGCTGGCAGTTCAAACCCACCAGCCACTCCTCGGAAGGAAGACTGGGCAAACTACTTCCGTAGTGATACTGACTCGGAAACCTAAGGAGGGGTCGCTATGAGTCGGGTCCGACTCGACGGCACATAACAACAACAACAATAACAAGGAGCCCCTGGTGACACAATGGTTAAAGCACTCAGCGACGAATCAAAAGGTCAGGTATTGGAACCCACCAGCCCCTGCATAGGAAAAAGATGTGGCAGTCCTGCTTCCATAAAGATTACAGCCTTGGAAATCCTATGGGGCAGTTCTGCTCTGTTATACAAGGTCTCCATGAGTCAGAATCAAGTTGGCAGCTGTGGGTTTGCAGGTTTCCTTGTTTGTTTGTTTGCTTAAGTATCTTCTCACGTTCTAACAACAGTACCAACAAACTACACCATACATACTAATCATCATGAAAATGGCACAGGTTTGGAAACATTCCTTTCTATTATACATAAGGTCACCATGAGTTGCAGCCCACTGAAGGATAACTAATAACAACTTTCTAACTTACTAACTTTCTAATTATTTTAAATTTTAAAATAATATTTATAGAGATCGTTTGGTTAAAAATCACTTCACCGGGCAAAAAAAAAAAAAAAAAAGAAGAAGAAGGTGGGGACCACGTTTGCTGGTCCAATAGAGCCTGGTGTAACCACTGAGACTATGGCCCCTAGCTGCACTTCAGGTCTGGAATTGAACCCACAACTGTGGTTTCCAGCCAAACAAAGTACAGGCATGTGAGTTAAACATTTACCTCAAGTAGACACACGCCCTGGAGAGAACAATCATGGGAAAAGGAAGGGCTGCTTATGCACAGGGAGATAGCTCAGGGTGCAGAAGAGTATGAAGGGATGGACACTGGGAGGAGGTAACTATGGGGAGGAAGTGGGAGGGGAGCTGCTGCATTGTAAATTTTGGTCAATGACATGAGACAAAGTATATGTGAACTGCTGTATGAAAAGTGAATTTACTCTGTAAATCTTCACCCAAATCCTAATTAAAAAAAAAAATCACTTCACCTAACATTTCCTGGTGCTACAAAATGAACTGATGTGTTTTCATCCCCACTCCTCCCTAGCTTTCCTTTAAAAACCATGTGTAGAAATGATCTGACAGCCTAAAATATGGTATAATCACCATTGGTGGAACTGAGATTTCTTTTTCCTGTAGGCCTCCAGAAGGCTTCTTCATTCATTTAAGAAGCACTTGTTGCACATCTACCTAAATGCAACTGAGAAGCCACCTAGAGAAATAAAGTACTGAAAGGAGAACCTACTCGATAGCTGTGGCAAACCACTAAACAACTTACTCGAATTCAAAGTGATAAGAGCCATCTGGCAACAGAACAAAATGTTCTAAACAAGCACAACTTCGGTAGGCCCTAATGGACCTCAGAGAGGGAGGAGATAAATTCAGCCTGCTAGACATGCCGGAGGGGCAGGTTACTTCGAGAGTGGAATAGATCTGCAAATGCTTTCCAGAGCTAAACTTAAAGCAAAAAGCCAGGAAGTTCTCCAAAAGCTGGAGGCCGGAACGTTTTCCTCCAGATCCACCCCATCTACCAATTCAGACTACCAGAGCCCAGGCCGGCCTGGCCGCTGACCTGGAAACCTCTGCTACGTGACGACCAGGAGACAGTCGAGACGGGGCCAAGTCGCCCCTCAGAAGGAGATGGGCACTCTCTCCTTCTTTGGGCCCCCACCATCATCACTAGTTGCGGGAAAGATTCTTCCCAGCTCTTGGGGTTTAGCGTAGGCACCTAACAGGGTGCAAAATCTGATCGGTGCCACTCCCGGAACAGCAGTGGGCCGAGATTTGAGGTCCAACAGGGCCTACCTAAGTTGTGCGGCTCAGCGGCCGGAGGCCTCCGGCTAGCCCTGCACGGAGCACTGGGGCCACAGTGGGGTCACTCGGATAGTCGCAGGACTGACACCCGCGCCCCGCCGCCAGGGCCAGGACTGGCGCAAGGCTCGAGCGCCCCCCCGCACGCTGCGGCCCTGGCCGAGCGCCCCGGAGGCGCCCTCCGCCTCCGCCTCCGCTCCCTAGCCCCTCCGGGCGGGCAGAGGGAGCCGTCGGGCCAGAAAAGGCAGGGTTGGGACTCTAGAGGGGGAGCTCAGGAGACCACAATTTACCTGGTCCGGCGGAGACTCGGGTGGAAGCCCAGGGCGGGTGGATCTGCGATGGCCCTCCCTCACCTGGGCGGAAGTGAAGGGCCCAGGGTGACCGCGCCTCACCTGGCAGGCCCACCCCTCCCACCGACCCTCCCCGCCGGGGCGGGGCGCGGGAGTGGCGGGGGTGGAGCAGGAGAGGGAGCTTGGGACCGCTGGTGGCGGACCGGAGAAGGGAAGGCGCGAGGCAGTTGGCATCTGTACTTTCTGCAGGTGGAGTTCAGCTAGGAAAGGGAGAGTTAAAAGAGCCGTATACCAAGACCCTGGGAAGGGCGCGATGTGGGGACACAGTGGGCAGATGAGACTCCGAATGGTGAGGGGATTAGACAGGACATGTAGGAGAGCTGGGCGGAGAGCGAGACCCAAGATGAAGGCAATTAAAGGACATTGTTAAATTGATCTGGTCAAATCTGTTTAGCCCCCTGTTGTTTTGCCCTTTTCTTTCACCTTTCTCTCATTCCTCTGTTGTGTTTCCCATACTTTCTGATGCAACATAAAATAGTCCAAGAAGAGTAACTGGAGGACAAAAGGTGTATGTAGTTCAGTGGGTCTTCTAATTTTTGGAAGGAAAGAAGCCATTCTGTTGGAATGCCTATTATATGTTAACCAAACCAACCCAAATTCACTGCTGTCGTGTCGGATCCGATGATAGCTCCTTGAGTTTCCGAAGCAGTATCTCTGCGGAAGTGGATTGCCCAATCTGCCTTCCTAGGAGTGGCTGGTGGGTTTGAACCTCCAGCCTTCTAGTTGGCAGTCCAATGCCTTAGGCACTAGGCCACCAGAGCTCCTTACCACATGGTAGGCAGCTAGTTTTTACATTATCTCATTTACTCTGTAAAGGAACTGAAGACATATGCATCTGATAGGTAAATTGATTTGTCCAAACTTTGGAACTCAGACTGCTCTAAGTCCAGTGTTGATTTCACTATACATTTTAACGTTTTTATTCTGAATATTGTAACTTGACTTTGAGAAAAATCTTTGTAAAACCCACAGTGGCATGATATCACTCTTTAATGTAATTCGTTTTAGAATTTTGATGACAGACATTTGAGTATTTTTTTAATACAATTCACACATTAATGATAAAGAGAACTAATCAAGTATCTTACTCATTGAAGAAATGCAGTATTTATGAAGCAACTCTGGGGAGATATGTAAAATGGGATCTCTCCTCAAGAAAGAGGAGGCATATATACAAAACCACTGCAACATAAGGGCATTTGTTGTAAGATCATGCACTTGATATTTTATAGTTACAGTTGTTTGCTTGTTTTAAAGGAAATACTGTTCATTAGGCCTGTAAGAAGATGTACAAAAAGGCATGGTCTCAGCTTTTTAGGACCTAACAAACTACTGAAGGAAATAACCTTGCACAAAACTTAAATTGCCAAATAGAATTAATCCATAAACTTCAGAAAGAGATCTGTTATGTTTGCTAAAAGGTATCTGTTAGGACTTACACAGGTCTTAAAAAGTGTTTGCAATTTGCTTAGGCAAAGTGAAGGAAATGTTTCCCAACTCAGGGTGGGATGGGGGAGGCAGCAAAACACCAACTTGGAAAAAATGAATCTCTTCCTACCCTAATATTAATGAAAGTTATTAATATATTAGGAGTTCCGGTAGCGTTGTGCCTAAGGCACTTGACTACTAAGCAGAAGGCTGGCGGTTCAAACCCACCAGCCACTCTTCAGAGGGAAGTTTGGGCAATCTACTTCTGTAGTGATACCGCCTGGGAAACCCAAGAAGGGGTTGCTATGAATTGGGTTGACTCGAGGGCACATAACAACAACATTAATATATTACCACTTCTTAGGAAAATTATTAAGTAACTTTCAAATGATCATGAAACAAAGTTCAAACTCCTTTTCCTACTACAAATTGAGGGCCTTCAAACTCTTCCCCTTCTTTCTAACTCATCAACCTTCACCTCTCCACCACCTAACTTTGACCAAAGGATTCTGCTGAGTATCTGTGGAATGCACCAGATCTTGACTATTCCTTTGCTTTGTTGTTATGTGCCTTTGAGTCAGACCGGACTCATAGCAAGCCCTCATTGGGTTTCTGAGGCGGTATCACTACGGAAGTAGATTGCACAACCTTCCTTCCCAGGAGTGGCTGGTGGGTTTGAACCACTTCCGGTCTTCTGGTTATCAGTCAAGTGCCTTAGGCACTACACTACCAGAGCTGTTTCCCCTGCCTGGAATGTCCTGTAATCCCTACCCTCCCTCCAGAGCTAGACTCAGTCTCACTTGCAAGAGCTGCTTCCCTGATCATCCTAGCAAAAACTAATCTCTGTTACATTTAATCTAATCTTCTCCACATTTTTGTCCCTTAATTTAATGTGAGCTCTTCTTTAGCCCTTACACAGAATTTTTAAAAATTTGTACGATATGTCTTTTAAGGACCTTACTCTGACAATTCTCAAGTGTCTTATTCAGAGATTGATAAAGATTAACTGAATTTTTCTTATCCATTCTGCAACTCGCCATCTCTTGAGTGGTGCATTTAATCCATTAACATTCAGTGTAATTATTGACAAGTATGAATTGGTTGCTGTCATTTTGTTATGTGTTTTTTCATGGTGTCCCTGGTTTCTTTGTTCCATATTATTTTCTGTGCTAAGCTCATTATGTTTATGAATTGTGTTATCATTTCCTTTGTTGCTATTGATTTAGTATTTGCTGAATATTTGTGCTTGTCCTCTTTTTTATTGTGATGTGAAGGTTTATCATTTTTCTTTGAGGTTGCCCTGTGATTTATAATTTTCCCCCCAAGTTTTGAACAGTCCATTCTATCTTTCAACTCTCTTGGCTTGCTCACCATTTAGAAGTTCTGTAACTACACAGTATTTTCCCTCTTTTTGGTTTGTAGTTGTCCTCATTTGCCAACTGATGTCTCGATCCCTATTTATAATCTTGTAAGTTTATTTTCCTTTGGATATGTCCATAGCTGTGGCCTCTGGGTTATGTCATCTGTGTATTAATGGTCAGTTGATGTTTGGTATTTTTGGATTTCTGTTCAAAGGACTCCCTTCAGTATTTCTTGTAAGGCTGGTCTGATTTTAACAAATTACCTTAGTTTCTGCTTATCTGAAAATCTCCTAATTTCACCATCATATTTGAAGGACAATTTTGACAGGTATATAATTCTAGGTTGAAAATTTTTCTCTTTCAGGATTTCATATATGCCATCCCATTGCCTTCTCGCTTGCATGGTTTCTGCTGAGAAAACAGAGCTTAATCTTACTGGTTGTCCTTTGTAAGTAACTTTTTGTTTTTCCCATGCTGCTTTCAGGATTCTTTCTTTGTCTTTGGTTTTGATGAGTTTGATGATGATATGTCTTGGTGATTTTTGTTTGGGGTCTGTCCTGATTGGGGTTTGTTGGACTTCCTGAATGGATATATTCTCATCTTTCATCATATCAGGGAAATTCTACTCCAATAAATCTTGGACAATTTTCTCAGTGGTTTTGTTTTTCTCTTCCTGTTCTGGAAGTCCAATGGCACATAAGTTATTCCTTTTGATGATATCCCATATGAATCTTAGGCTTTCTTCATTTTGTTTGGATTTTTTTTTTTTTTTACTGATCCCTGTGTTAGACTGGGCTCTCTAGACAAACAAAACCAGTAAAGCTTATATATATATAGAGAGAGAGAGAGAAATTATCTTAGGAAAATGGCTCACACACTTATAGAAGCTGGCAAGTCCAAAGTTCTTGGATCAAACATCAAACTGGAGGCTTTTCCTGGCTCTTGCAGCTGCAGGGGCTGAGGAGCTCAAGGTTGGCAGGCAGTATACTGGCTATTGACTCCAACGAATGATGAATCCAAGATCTCCAGGCTGAATGGTGGAATGTTCGCTCACAGATAGTTGTAGGCAACACAACAGAATCCCAATCCACAGAAGCATGTCTCTTTTCCCAGGATGTCCATAAATATACTGGAAGCAGGCCACATCCCTAGGGGAACTCCCTTTTCAACTGATTGGCTGCTCAAACATATTAATCTGATCCCATCATGGGAATAACCACATCACAACTGCTTAAACCACACAGAACTGTGGTCCAGCCAAGTTGACACACAGCTCCAACTATCACAATCCCTTTCCACAGACGTATTCAGGTATTTGTCTTCAAACTCATTAATTCTGTCTTCCATTGCATCAATTCTACTCCTTTGCCTTTATAATATGTTATCTATTTCTGACAATTTAGTATTAATCTTCTGGATTTCTATCTGTAGATTTTAAATAATTTCTAATTTTTCATTTATGTTGTCATTTGGTTCTTGTATTTTCTTCCAAAATTCTTCTGTGTTTTCCTTGATCTGTCTCTCAATCCTTTGAAGATACCTAAATATAATTCTTTTAAATTCCTTATCAGGGAATTCCAATGCTGTTTCTTCCTCAGGGATGTGTTCTGGGTCTATATCCTGCTCCCTTGTTTCTACCACTTTATCTTGCTTCTTTGTGTGGACTGTGATGGTCTATTGTCTCTGAGACATTGTGACATTGTTATATTTAGATCTTTGTTAACTGTTTGTGAAGAGCAGCTAAGGGTGAGTCAGGTTCTTCTTGGTGGTTGTTTATCATTGGCCCATTGGTGGAGAAGGAAGTGGTGGCCCTCACTCAGTAAGTGAAAATGCAGGAGGTGTGGATATAGTTGTGTCCCATGGGGACTGTTGCTGTCTCCCACTCAGTTAGACTTTCCAGTTGCCCATGTCCAGAATGTACTTGTGGTCCCTGGCAAGTAGAGCTTGTTCTTAAGTCCCTGGAATCTAGGAGAACACTGTTTTTTTAAATATTCTAAATGGTCAAACCGCTTATAAACATTCAAAATGGCTGAACCCTCCAGACAGACAAAAGTCCACAGCTCAGCCTGCCTTCCTCTTTGCTCCTTCCTCTTTTATTTCCCAGCCACCAGAGCAGTCCTCCATGCAGTCCCTGACTAGCAGAGCCAATTTTTAGGTTAATTCTTAGGTCTTACCACCACTCAGCAATATCCAAGCTGTCTGTGCCATCAGGATTGCTGCCAGACCAC